GGCTGACACAGTCCTCACCCCCTTCTTCCCTTTCATGCCATCTCGGAAGCTGGGCATCTCAGTGATAGCTCACAGTGTGGCAGCAGCCTGGATGCCTGAGCCACCACCCTGGATTTATCAATCTGCGATGTGAAGGAGAAATAAGTCTTCACTGTCTAAGCTACTGGGATTTCGGGCTCATTTGTTACTGCAACATAACCTAGGCTAGCCTGACTAAAACTCAGCTGGGCCACAATTTAAACCCCTCTAAGCCTCAGTTTCTTCATTTGCAAAATGTTAATTATAATATGTATTGTTGTAGTCACGGCTGTTTTCACTGTAAGTAGCAGAAAGCCACTCGATCAGGCTAAATCAGAAAGGAAACTTGTTGGAAAGATTCAGGGCATCTGACAGTAGCTGTCGCTTATCTCACCCCATGGCACATCCTCCTGGTTGCAACGCTGTCGGCCGATGGGTGGGTGTCTCTCCCAAGTGCCCAGGAGAAGAAATCTGATTGGCTCAGCTCGTGTCAAGTGTGTACCTCTGGGCCAATCAGCTGCAGCCAGAGACCAGGGTCATAAGAGACAAACCTGGCCTGAGTTTTCCTCTTACAGGTGGGGTGCACTTTGCTCCAAGATGAAAATCATGGGCTGAGTAGATACCCAAAGACGTCTGCCATGCTATGCGCAGGATGCTGAGGTTTCGTGAAAAAGTGTACATGGGGATTACATGAGACAGTGCCTGTAAAGCATCTCAGCAGAGTTTTGCTAACAAAGAATGAATGGTCCCTCTGTAAATACTCTAGAGTCACACTCTAGACCCTAGTCTTCCGGTGGAGGGCCCTGCTCTATGAGCAAGACTGCCGTAACTGTTCCGAGGGTCCGTGACTCTTCATGGACTCAGATTCAGGCCTGTGAGGATCTTCCAAGTGGAGCAAGGCCACAAGTAGCTTTGTGGTCACTGATGTATCAGTGGCCCTGAAATAACCGAGGGAGAGCCTGTTCTCCCTTCCTCCAGGCTTTCGCCAGAGCTGCTCTGTGAGCTTCCACCCTGCCATGTGCCCTGAAAGAACTCTGGCATTTGCTGAAAGGTCACCAGCTGCAATTTCAGGCCATGTGGATAACTCAAACTTCTCACATTTAAATGTGGCTGCAAAGGGGTGTGACTACTGCTCCCACCGTTGATCTGGGCTAGATGGTGGCAGAAATAGCAGGCCGTCCCTCGGGTCCCTGTACGGGGCGGGAGTTGAGTGCTTATAAATGAAGTACTAGCCAGTACTTCTCACTGCTGATCCCCAGGTTATCCAGCCTTCTGCTCGTTCTTGGCATCCACACGGTGCTCGGCAGCCAGCGCCTCTCTGGCTATCTGTGCTGAAGCACTGGTTTGTTTGTTTGTTTCTTTCACTTCCAATCTGTTGTGAACAGATACAATTATAAAACATAATGAAAAGAATTACTGGAATGGCCAATAAACCAGGAAAAGATGCTCAACATTGCTAATCATTAGGGAAATGCAACTCTAAGCCATAATGAGATACAATGTCATCCCCATTAGGATGGCTATTACAAAAAACAAAAACAAACAAGGAACAGTCCTGGTCTCTAGAAGACAGCAAGCAAACAAACAAAAAACAAAGGCCAACCAGCCAAACAAAAAGCAAAGCAAACCAAACAAAATTTTTTAAAAAGCCAGAAAATAACATTGGTGAGGATGGGGAGACATTAGAACCCTTATTAACTGCTGGTGGGGATGTGAAATGGTGCAGCTGCCATGGAAAATATTATAGCACTTCCTCAAGAAATTAAACATAGAATTACCACATGATCCAGCAATTCTGCCTCTGAGCACATGCCCCAAAGACCTGAAAGCAGGGATTTGAACAGATGTTTGTTCCCCATGATCACAGCAGCGTTATTCACAATAGCAGCCAAGTGACCACGGATGGATGAACAAACATGCTATATGCACACAATGCAATGTTATTGAGCCTTAAAGAGGGAGGGAATTCTGACACATTCTACAGCATGGAAGAACCTGGAGGACACTACGTTGAGCGGAATAAGCCAGTCACAGAGGGACAAATATTGTATGATTCCACTTGTGTGAGGTACCTAGAAAAGTCAATCCATAGAGACAAAGCAGAATGGTGGTTGCCAGGGACTACGTGCTGGGGAACAGGGGAATGTGAAGTTACTGTTCAATGGGTACAGAATTTCAGTCTGGAAGGATGAAGTTCTGGAGAGGGGTGGTAGTGGTGGTTGTACAGCCACGTGAAAGTACCTAATGACAGGAACTGTACACTTGCAAATGGTTAAAATGGTAAAAAAATTACTGGAAAAATGAAATTAAAAAATAAATATATGCAAAATACAAGCCCCAATTATTTAGTGTTAAATTGTAATTTTATTTATATTTAAATTACATGTTATTGTTAAATTTAATTGACATTTTATTGTTAAATTTAAATGGCATTTTAATAAATGTAATCAGAACAAATATGACATAGCAAAATTGCTGTAGAAATTTCTAACTACTCTCAATTTTTCTGCTTTCCTTGTTAGACCAGTTTGCAGACTGCCCATGATCCACTTTGTATTTCATTTTACAGTAAAATCGACTTTTAAAAAAGTGTACAGTTCTGTGAATTTTAACACATGTATGGATTCAAGCAGCCATGACCATAATCAGGACACAGAACTGTTCTGTCATGAACAAAACTCCCTTGTCCTATCCCCTCCCCAAACTCCTGTCCCCTGGCAACCACGGAGTCGTTCTCTCTCACCATAATTTTGTCTTTTTGAGAATATCATATAAATGGAACCATACAGTATGTAGTCTTGAGCCTGGCTTCTTTCACTCAGCATAATGCTTTAGAGATTCGAGTAACAATAGGTTGTTTCTTTTCATTGCTGAATAGTGTCCATTTCAAGGATGTGCCATTCATGTTGAGGAGCATTTGGGTGTCTGCAGTTCCTGAGCTGCTAGCGATACTGACGTGTGGGTTTTTGTGTGAACACACATTTTCATCTCCCTAAGGTAGATGCGACGGTTCATTTTGAGGGGCATCGCTTTGCACCGTCACATGAGAAACCCTCTTGATCAGATGGCAATGTTAGACTTCAAAGGAAACCTGAAAACCAGCCACCCGGGCTGCTCTCTTCATCCTGCAGCCATCCACTGGCCCAGACCTCTGAAGACCAAGCTGTTGCTCTTTCTGTAATTATGTCAGAGAAATCACCGTCGGTTGCTCCACATGGAAGACAAAACCTATTTATTAATGGCAACATGTAGATTAGGTCAAAGCAAGTTGCACTGTGCAGTCCTCACAAGTCTCAGAAGCTGCTGGGAAAGGGAAAAAGAGTTTTCTGGGTTTGATCCCAGTGATAACGAAATCCAAATGCTGGCACAGTGGTTCTCCTGGGCTGTACCCCACTGAGGCATTCGCTCCAGCACATGCACAGACATAAGGACGCGGCATTGTCTGAACAGCAAACTTTTCCAAAATAATCTGAATGCTCATGCATTGGAATGCGGTCTCTGTATACCGCCCTGGATGCATTTCCAAGCCGTTTTGCTGTGGTGGACACTTTAGAGTAGGTGACACAACAGCAGCGTCTAACACAGACCTGGCCACTGCCGAGGAAGTGGAAGTCCACTGGGTGGAGGATGGCTTCTGGGGAAATCTCTCTTTCCTAACAGGAGAGAACTGACTTGGTTGGAGCTGCCCTTTCTGCCCTCTCTGGGTCTTCAGTGTGGTCTAGATGTTCAGAGCTGTGGTGGCCCTTTCGTGCCCATGAGATAACAAGCACGGGGCAAAAGCCAGCAGACCAAGGATGACAGAAAAGAGACAGAGGGGTCCCCATGGACCTTCTGAACAGCTGAACAAAGGCCAGCAGCCGCCACCTTGTGAACTCACGGTCCGTGAGTTAAATAGCCCACGTGGACAGGCCACACTGTGTTGTCTGCTGCTTGCAGCTGCACGTCCTGGCTGAGATGACTGTCAGGGGAAGAGTCAAAGTGCAGGGCCATGTGCGTATTCTACTGCTTTGTAGAATGGAATTACACACTTTACTAATATGGGTACATTGAAAAACTGCAAGGATAACGGCAGCTGACAAAGTATTGAGTGCTTCCTATGTCCCAGGTCCTCTTATCACCTTGAATCCTCACAGCCACTCTACAGGGAGGAGGTTTCATGTTACCCACACTTAGGAGAGAGGAAACTGAGGATTCAAGGGGTCAGTAGCTTTCCCAAGTCCTACAACTAGCAGAAAACTAGCTTGGGACTCAAAGCCAGGTCTGTCTCCCCTAGAGGAAGTGCTCTGATCACCACACGCAGACCCCCGCCCATGCCTGTTGGCTGCACAGACTGCCCCAGCTCTGACAGCAGCGATTTCTATGGGGCGGGATGGGGGGATGGGCCAGTGGGGCAGACTTCAGTGTTTTCTTTATACACTTCCTCAGTGTTTCCTTTTTAATAAGCAAGTATTATTGTTGTTATAAAAGTATAAATCCAGAGAACTTGATAAACTAACACTGGCACCAGGTCTTATAAGAGGAATATAATTGTTTTCTTCCAGATTTGGATATTTGCTATGGATATCTACCAGTCATACACACTTTCTGGAAATAAAAAGCATTTTTTTCAAACTCATTTGAAAGAACTCTGGCTAAGGAGACTCCATGATCACCATTACTGTACTGTGACCTATGCCCCAGATAAGATATTTGTCATCTGCCACCTGTAACCGCGGGAGAGTTGGTCCTGCCGCGGATAGATGTCCTTGAATAGGACAGTTTTATGGGTCATTTTTTATCATCAGCTGGAATTTTCACCTCCCACCTGTTCCTAAGGGGTTAGATTGGGGAGCCCACGGAGAGGAAGCAGGCTCCGCCCACTTCTATTTAGAGCTTGCTCGGGGCGCTTTGGCTGCTGCCACCAGCCTCGAGGCCAAAGGGATTTCCGTGAATGCTCGGCCAGTTGTTGCAGTCACGTGGGCTGGGGCCTTTTTCCTTAAAGCTCCAGGTCCAGCACAGGTTGCTTATCAGCTTCCTCACTGTGGAGCTGCAGCCTTTGGAGAGAAACAAAGTTCCTGCAGGGTGAAAAGGAGGATTTGAAGCATTACCAGCCACAATGTCAGACAGAAGCCCCTTCAAAACGGACATGCTCACCCTGACCCACTACGTCATGGAAAAAGGGCGCCAGGCCAAAGGGACTGGGGAGCTCACGCAGCTGCTGAACTCCATGCTCACGGCCATCAAAGCCATCTCCTCGGCCGTGCGCAAGGCAGGCCTGGCCAACCTGTGAGTCCTGGGGAGCTGCAGGAGCTTGGGCAGGGAACTGGGTCCAGAGCTTCCTTCCCAGAAGGAAGTTGCATTCCAAGTTTCTATCATGGTTCTTCTATAAAGGGGCCTTTAACCTGCATCAAGAAAGGAAAAAAAGACTTCGAGACACGCTATGGAAAAAAAATATATAATTTTTCCAGTTACCATTTATTAGAATGATAAGTGCAATGGCTTATCGCACCTAACGTAGATTGAGTTCTCATGACTTGTACGTGCAAGAGTGATTCTCACTGGCACGGAGCAGCGGAGGGGAGACTTGAAACATCTCTTATGTCCTCTGCAGAGTGAGCATTTTATTGTTATGACCTTTGCCAATGTGTTAGAATCTGGAAATAATTCACAAAGTAGAAAACTTCACAGGGCCCATCCTACATCTATCGCTCTCACCACTTAAAGGAATCTTGCTGGCAACATTTCTTATTTCTTCTCCGTGACTCGCTCTTTCTCTTTGTCTCCACTTGGTGTGCAGGAGGCTGGGAGGGGTCGGGAGGGGGTGCAGAACCTCTTCCACTGGTCGCCCTTGGTGCTTTATCCAGGCACAGAATGAGGCCATGTTCACACTGTGACTGCTGATGCTCACAGCCACGGGTCCCTCTTAACTCTGTGACAAAAAGAACAAACTTTGTAGCAATTGCAGTGGCAGTCCACTCAGAAGCTGAAGAGACCCATATTCTGGGAGCAGAGGGACCCAAAATAAAGAACTAACAAAGTCCAATAATTTAAAATATTTATCCTTAACAATTCAGTGGTTTTAATACAAAAAAGTGATAGCATTTTATGCTAGACGTAGTTATCATAAGATCATTATGGACTTTACTTGTATAAGGTTTTGTGATTCAGTAATGGGACCCAAGCTGGAGATGTACCGTGCTTGGCTTCCTTCCTGTCTGTGGGTTGCTAGCACTGTGTTATTACCTCACTTGGCAACAGTGGCCAAGCTCTGCCTTTAAAGGCCTTCCTGAATGTGAGGTGCAGCCCTGTGCCCCATCCTGCTCCTGTGGGAGATGGGCCCTGCTGAATGACACTGAATAGTGACCTTGTCTCTCCCTGTGTATGGGCCCTGATGTACTTGGCGCCATTTCCTGAGCCACATCTTGGGACCATTCACCCACATTAATGGGGCTCCTTCTCTGGGCAGGGCTCTCGGCTCAGCAGCAGCTGCCGTGGTAGGATTCTTACTTATCTGGGGCAAAACTCTGACTTTGTGGCAGCTGCATGTCGGAATGAAGCGGGCATAGGAACTGGATAATTAAGGGGCACATCTTTGGCTTTTCCTACTGTCTGATCATGGGCAGTGATTTTTCCGTGTTAGGACCTCACTTTCTTCGTTTGTAAAATGAAGAGGATACTAATGCCCCTAATTGTAGTGTTGTTGAAAGGGTTAATAAGCCCGTGTGGTGACAATTTTGACAGTGCCAGCCCCATAATAAATGCCCAGTATATGCTCCTTATTAACAGGGTTCCCAGCCCAGAGCAGGGGAAATCTGCCAGCTGGCTCCTGTGCCAACTGACCACTAGGTGGCAGGCGCAGCCCCTGGAAGCAGGCATCGGGCTTCCTCTTTTCCTGGGTGGATTGACAGCTGAGGCAGGGGTCCTGCGCCTGGACATTGCCATTCAGATGGCATTCTTCCCCTGGTCCCTCTGTAACAGATGCCCAAAGTGGGAGAAGCCCATTCGTTGGAAATTCTTTCTTTCTAATAAAATTATTTTAGAAAGACCCTGGACTCAGTGAAAGTCGCCCCTGTCCTGCAGCAGCCATGCTTCTGCTCATGAGACTGGCACTGTCACCTATTCCTGCCACTGTCCCACGTAGGGACCTCAAGCCCCTCATTCCTTTGTTTCCTTTTTGGGAAGACATTCTTGGCACAGACTTGATAAATGCCATTTAAAAGTTATCAGAGATTCTCATGTTTTTCTTTTTTTCCTCCTCTTCTTAGTGTAGGAAGAAGGGAACACTTCAGTGCCTGCCACCACCATAGCCTCTCCATGGCTTTCTAATGTCCAAATGGTAGAACATTCCATTTAGAAACTGTCAATAAGCTTTAGTGCTAGTTAAAATGCTAGAATATATTGCTTTATGGGTTAGAAAGCATTTTTTCACACATGATCTAACCTGAAGCAGTTGTCAGGAAATGACCTCTCATTGTGAGTGAGTTTCCATTCTTTCTGGAAGGAGGGGTATTGCCCAGCACCTGGGAGAGGGTGCAGAGGGCAGGTTGAGGGGTGGGGGTGGGAGGGCTGGCAGGATGGTGTTGGTTGTGGGCAAGTTTGCAAAGCACAGGACAGAGCCTGTGTCTCAGCTCTGCCCACCACAGGCCTTAGACATGCTAGCTCTTCATTCTCCAGCAGGAGCTGCACCAAGACTCCATATTAAACAAAAGGATTGGGACTGTGGTCACCTCTGATGCAAAATAACCCAGTTGTGTTGTTGCTGTTGCTGGTTTGCTTGTCTTTGACTTGAACCAGGAGGCACAGTCCTTGAGGCCAGGCTGCCAGGACTGATTTCCAAGGCAGCTGGCAGCTCATCATGTCACTCAAACCAGGCACAAATGATGGGTGTGGAGCAGGGAGGAGGGTGGGAAATGACTTTGTCACAGACTACCTGCAGAACCACCTGACGACTCCTTCAACAAATAAATGGTATTAAAATGAGGAGAGGAAGGGTAGTGACCTTCTTGCCACGCTTTCTTCATAACTCAGTGAGCACACGCTGAGCATCTAGTGTGCATCTGACACTGTGGAAACGGAGACAGTGAGGCACCACTCCAGCCTCAGCAAGCAGACAGCCCAGCAGGGAGGAGGCCCATGAAGATCGTGAGCGCTAGGTGTGCCCGGTGTGTGGTGTGAACCTGCGGGGAGCTTCCCAGAGGGGCTCAGCAGGGTGAGCTGGACAGAGCTAAGGGTGGGCAGAGCACACTGGCAGGCCGGGTGCGGTGAGTGGAGGTGAGACAGAGCGGGGCTCATCGGGAAGCTATTTGAGGATCACCAACAAAGACATGCACCTCCAGTGCAGGAAGCCACGGGCGTCACTGTTTGGCGTCCTTCGTGACGGTGATGTCTGATTTTATGAACTTTCCCCTTCTCCCTGCCTCCTGGTGCTGAGCGTGAGTTTGTTTTTTTTTAAGATCTTTTTTTTTTTTTTTTTTTTTTGTTTTTTTTTTTTTGTTTTAATATCCCTTAAGTTAGACATGCTAGCTCTTCATTCTCCAGCAGGAGCTGCACCAAGACTCCATATTAAACAAAAGGATTGGGACTGTGGTCACCTCTGATGCAAAATAACCCAGTTGTGTTGTTGCTGTTGCTGGTTTGCTTGTCTTTGACTTGAACCAGGAGGCACAGTCCTTGAGGCCAGGCTGCCAGGACTGATTTCCAAGGCAGCTGGCAGCTCATCATGTCACTCAAACCAGGCACAAATGATGGGTGTGGATCAGGGAGGAGGGTGGGAAATGACTTTGTCACAGACTACCTGCAGAACCACCTGACGACTCCTTCAACAAATAAATGGTATTAAAATGAGGAGAGGAAGGGTAGTGACCTTCTTGCCACGCTTTCTTCATAACTCAGTGAGCACACGCTGAGCATCTAGTGTGCATCTGACACTGTGGAAACGGAGACAGTGAGGCACCACTCCAGCCTCAGCAAGCAGACAGCCCAGCAGGGAGGAGGCCCATGAAGATCGTGAGCGCTAGGTGTGCCCGGTGTGTGGTGTGAACCTGCGGGGAGCTTCCCAGAGGGGCTCAGCAGGGTGAGCTGGACAGAGCTAAGGGTGGGCAGAGCACACTGGCAGGCCGGGTGCGGTGAGTGGAGGTGAGACAGAGCGGGGCTCATCGGGAAGCTATTTGAGGATCACCAACAAAGACATGCACCTCCAGTGCAGGAGGCCACGGGCGTCACTGTTTGGCGTCCTTCGTGATGGTGATGTCTGATTTTATGAGCTTTCCCCTTCTCCCTGCCTCCTGGTGCTGAGCGTGGGCTTGTATTTTAGTTAAGATCGAATTCTGGTTAATCTAACTGGGAGACTAAAGAAAAATGACAATATCCCCGAAGAGGAAAGGAAGCAAGGCTGCAGATCACTGCCGTGAGACATAATCTTCTCCTCCTCTATTTATAATTTGGAGACTTCAGAGAAAGGAGGATGCACTGTTGGTGTTTTCGCATCGTGTTCTTTGCTGGAGTTAGGACTCCCCTAGTGACTTCACTGAGCCTTTTTTCTTCTCAGGTATGGAATAGCGGGGAGCATGAATGTGACGGGAGATGAGGTGAAGAAACTGGATGTGTTGTCCAATTCCCTGGTGATCAACATGCTGCAGTCCTCCTACAGCACCTGCATCCTGGTCTCTGAAGAGAATAAGGAAGCGATCATCACCTCCAAGGACAGGAGGGTGCGTTCCGGGGTGGGCTGCAGTGTCACTTGTCACCAGGAGATGGTGCGAGTTAGCTGGGAAGAAGCTGGTTGCTTTTTTTTTAAGTTTTGGGATTTCCCTTTGTTTTCTTAACATTTGTTTTCTTGTAAGTGCTGGTGTGTCTGGGAAGGGTCTATATTCACTGTGGGTTCACAAACAGTTTATTAGAGAGAGTGGTTTGCTGGTGGCCAAAAAAATCCAAGCAACGTTCAGCTGTAATGTTGTAATGTAAAACAGATGCTGCGACTCCCAGCCCTTGTTTTATACACTGGGCATTGGTGATGAGGAGCTGTTTCTTTATGATTAGCTGGAAGGACAGGAAAGATAAAATAAAGCCTAATTGATTAAGCACCTACTGTGTGCCAAGTGCGGTACAAGGCACTTTCACACTTGTTACATGTATTTAAGCTAAATCATACCTGCTACGTTCAACTTTCAATTTCAGTGGGGAGAACCCTTGTTTGTCTCTCCAGTTTAACCTATCACTGTCTTCCATAGTTGGCTTGAGCTACACAGATCCTCATGCTAGTTTTTTGGGTTTTTTGGGGGGGCAGTTGGCCTGTATGGGAATCTGAACCCTTGACCTTGGTGTTACAACACTGTGCTCTAACCATCTGACTAACTGGCCGGCCCACTCATGCTCGCTCATGAAGCTGCTCCACGTCTGCTCCCCATGCCGAGAGCTCCCGCTGATGTCTCTGTCTGCAATTCTCCCTCGGGCTCCAGGTGTCTTTGCTCCTTCATTCCAGTCAGGCCTCTCATCGAACATTCCTCCCTCCCACTCTCCTGCCCCCCACCTGTTTGGTTTCTCTTTAGAGCATGTACCACAACCTGTTTTTGTGTTTGCCTGTGTCTGCTTCGTCCACCAGAACGTCAGCTTCATGACATCGGCCTTGCTGCTGCTCCTCTCCATGAAACACCGGCACCCTGCACAGTTTCCAGCACTAGCTAGATGCTCAGCAAATACCTGTTTGGATAAATGCACTCATGGGCCAAGTTGGGTTATTCATAGAGGGGTTGAGGAATTCCCGTTTAGGGATTATCCCACTTTCCCCCCTCCCTCTGGCGGAGCAAGGAAAGAAAAAGAAACAAAGTTCAAATGAAGCTAGGGCACTACTCATGGAAAGTCAGGGCAGCCAGCGTGAGTGGAGGTGGAAACCATTCCCCATCACTTGATGCTTCATTGCCCCTGTTTCACTGGTCAGGTGACTCTAGCCCATCACCAAGGGCTCTCTCAGCACCTTGCACATGGGAGATCTGTGAAAAGTGTCTGGGATTTCCTTCCATGGAAGGTTGGCTGGAATTGCCCATGACAGCGGAGTGGGTGGGGGTGGGGGACAAAGGTCTCTCAACACCCTGCCCACTTTATCTTCTGGTCTTCACATCAGAAAGGAGGGTTGGATGCAGCAAACTCAGAAGAGTGTTTTTATTTTCCTAGTATACTTTTCCATACCAACCATCTTAGTAAGACAGACACAGAGGTCCTGACAAGGGCATTCTGTGATGAAGTCTTCTGGCAAAAATGCTCCAAGATGAAAAGACCTGTCTGCAGAGAGGCCAGAAAGAAATATCCCTAAGCCCACAGCTGGCTGACCGTGGACACTAGCAGAGCTGCCCTGGGCACCTTCGGGCAGCAGCCCGGGTTCAGCTTCCACTTCCCACCTCTCCCTGCAGGTGACAATTCGAGACCTAGCTTCCTCCCACACCCTCAGCGGCTCTGAGCCCTGGTGGGCCCAGGAGGGAGGAGTTGCTGGGGCCTCTAGCTGCTGGGTGGGCATCAGTGCATCTGTGTGGGGTGGGGCTGGCCCTAGGCTGCAGCAGTCCTATATGTGGGTGCACGCTGTCCCCCGTGTGTGAGTGTTTCCTGATAAGGATGTGCATGGCCCTGCATCTCCTCTGACGCAATGCGTCTGAGAGAGAGCAGTCATGCTGATCTGCTGGTTCTTCCTTCTGTGATTCAGGGGAAATACGTGGTCTGCTTTGACCCACTGGATGGATCTTCCAACATTGACTGCCTGGCCTCCATCGGGACCATATTTGCCATCTACAGAAAGGTGAGTAGACAGGCTAACACTTCACGCCTCCTTCCTGTGGTGGTTTCTGGAAGATACCTAGGCTGAGCATCGTGAGTCTGTCCTCCCACTGACCAGACTCACCACTGGAGGCAAACCACAGCCCCCTCTGCCTCAGGCTGCTCCTTGGAAGGACCAAGGTGGCGATTCTTCTTCTGCCTTCTTTCTGGTCTTCCTGGGAGGGTGAGGTGAAAGGACAGAAGGGACCTCGGTTTGGAAGTCTGGATGTGACCCAGATGTCAGGTGTGGCTTCAGGTTCAGGAGGCATCTGAAGCCCCTGTTTCAACTCTTAAGGTGCTGGTTTTCTGTTGCTGCCGTCACAATTTGCCACACATTAGAGGCTTAAAACAACACCTGTCGATTGTCTCCCAGTTCTGTAGCGAGAATCCGGCAGGCCTGGCTGGCTTCTCTGCTTAGAGTCTCACAGGTCCCAAATCCAGGTGACAGCTGGTCTGGCTTCTTATCAGGATCCAGGGAGACTTTGCTTGCAGGCTCATTTAGGTTGGCAGGATTTGCTTCCATTCTGTGGTGGGATTGAGGTCCCCGTGTCTTCACTGGCAGATGGCTGGGGTCACTCTCAGCCTCTAGAGGCTGCCATATCTTTGGCTTGTGACCCCTTCATTTTTAAGGCCATGCAAGGCTTTCTCATGCTTCAAATCTCTCTGACATTCCCCTCCCCACTGGCTTTGCATCATCTCCCCTGCCTCCAGCCGCAGAAAGTTCTCTGCTTAAAGGCTCATTTGATTAAATTGGGCTAATCTAATCTGGATGATCCAGGATAATCTCCCTGTTTTAAATCTGCAAACCTGGTCACATTTTCAGTGTCCTTTTCACTAAGTAATGCAACATATTCACAGATTCTGGGGACTAGGGCATCTTTGGGGCCATTCTGCCTACCCCACAAACCTGACAACAGAGAGGCTCCTGTGGGCTGGTTCGTGACCATCCTGCATGCCCAGAAACCTCAGGACAGACCACTTAATCCAGATGACAGGTTTGGCCGTGCCTCAGCTTGGGGGTCAGTCATTGCCCAAATCAGCACGGCCAGGCTTTGCCCTCGGGGCCTCTGAGCAGAAGTAGCGCGGCAGGCGTGGGGCTGGGGCTCCGGCAGCAAGAGGCTGCATCTGGAGAGGCGCTGGCTGCTGCTGGAGGCGCCTCACTGGCCACCGCTGAACTGCTCACAGTCCACAGAGGGAGGCATCACCTCCTTCCTACATGGAACACCAACCAGCTGGGCACTGGTTACATGATGTCTGCAGAT